AACATGGAATTCGCTACCCATCCCGCGACGTGATTTCCACAGCCCTGCCCCTAGCAGTATTCCAACTAGCCGGTCATATTTTAAGCTCTATGGCCACTGCACAAATTCCCGTATCTTTGGTTCACACCATCAAGGGCCTTTCACCTCTCTTCACAGTTCTAGCATACCGAATCCTGTTTCGCATTCGATATGCCCGGGCAACCTATCTATCGCTGATCCCACTAACTCTGGGTGTGATGCTTGCATGCTCGACCGGAGTATCTACAAATTTCTTCGGTATTTTTTGCGCGTTTGGTGCAGCTCTTGTGTTTGTCTCCCAGAACATATTCTCAAAGAAGCTATTCAACGAGGCAGACCGTGCCGAATCAGATCTGCAAAATCCAGGGCGGCGAAAGTTGGACAAACTCAACTTGCTTTGCTATTGTTCCGGGCTGGCTTTTTTCCTCACCCTGCCTATTTGGTTTGTCACCGAGGGTTACCCGCTAGTATCTGATTTTATTCATGACGGTGTGATATCGCTATCGGGTAAGCAAGGCTCATTGGACCACGGTGCTCTTTCCCTTGAGTTTGTGTTCAACGGAGTCTCACACTTTGCCCAAAACATCCTGGCATTTGTGTTGCTGTCAATGGTATCTCCTGTGTCCTACTCGGTTGCATCATTGGTCAAGCGTGTGTTTGTGATTGTGGTAGCAATCATATGGTTTGGGAGCTCGACCACCTCGATTCAAGCATTTGGCATTGGCCTCACTTTCGTGGGGCTTTACCTTTACGACCGCAATAGTCATGACGATGTAGCTGACCAAAGGGCAAATACGGATCTTTTCCGTGCTGAGCAGTCCATTCTTCCAATGAATGTGCGGCACCCAAGCAAGCCATGGGATTCAAATGGTTATGCCTTCCCCGCGGGGAAGCCCTTTGAAGGTGCCGCCGACAACTCCCATGCTGCAGTAAACAACTCTAAGAAGGAAGACGATGGGCCCGGGCATGTTCGACCAAGAGGAGCTAGTGTCTCTCGTACTTGGTTGCCAGGGACCAAACAAGAATCCACTTGGCAGGTTAGTGATTCTCAAGCTGCGGCCTAGCATTTGTATTTAATGAGTTCTGTGTATGATATCATGGTTGTGAAGTGCTGCTCGGAAGAGCGTTTTATATCACTTTCCATTGTTGCATCCTGCCTAGGACGCGCAGAGCATCCTTTCAAGCCCCGAGAAGTACTTTTGGCTGCACGTAGGAGACACCAGTCTCCAAAGTGCCACCCGAAGTTTCAACAAACTGGATCTACTAATATATTCGACAATCTCAATAATGTACACGATGAGTAGGAGGATTTCATGACAAAACGTTTTGTTGTGCATTGTTACGTAACAGTTGAAGACCTCGGGGATGTAGCTACCGTTGGTAAGGAACAAAGTCATAATTAGGCGAACCCTTGACAGCTCCAGCTACGGTGCAATTCTGCTCTCGGAACATGCTGTAGAGGAAATAGGAACAGGGAAATGGCCTGCCTCCTACAATAATGATGCCCTTAACAATTTAATTTGGAAAAGAGAAATCCACAACAATGGGGAGGAACGGTGGCTTTTAAGGAAACCCGGAGTGGGAGTTTATCCGCCTAACCGAGCCAATCCCCGTGAGCCCATTTGTCGTTGCACTTAGTCAGCATTGTGATGGTCAGCACGCCAATTATGTAACTCTGGAACCGCAGATTCCGATGCAAAGTGCTCTCTAAACTCCCAACCGTCACCAGGACCTCACCCCTCACCCTCCTCCACTTTACCTCCCACTCTCAAATACCTGATCTCCCTCCAACGATGCGGCCGCAGCTGTTTCGTGCGGCCGCCCGGTCCCTCCGGGTTCCTAAGGTCTCCCCCCGGACCTTCGCGACGACAGCCCCTCGCGCAGCCGAGGTGGAACTCACCATTGGTAAGTTCAATCTTGGTTTAGTTCATCCAAATTGATTGATAACTGATGGCCCGTTTCTTTAGATGGCAAAAAGGTGTCTGTAGAAGGTAAACACTCCGGGAGATAACTCACTGAACCTTCACTCACATTCTCCCCCAAAGCTGGCTCGGCTCTTATCCAGGCCTGTGAGAAGGCAGGCGCAACGGTTCCTAGGTATGACCAGACTCCACGAACTTGAAATGATTGCAGTACTAACGTGCACCAGATATTGTTACCACGAGTATGTGCCTTTGACCAAGTCACACATGTTGCCTTTGCTAACACCAGTCCCTTAGAAAACTTTTAGTTGCAGGTAACTGTACGTGCAACAAATCCCACCCCAATCACACACCATTCAGGCAAATGTACTTACGGAAAACATAGGTCGTATGTGTCTCGTCGAAGTCGAACGTGCCCCAAAGCCGGTGGCCTCCTGTGCTTGGCCGGTACAACCCGGTATGGTGGTGAAGACAAATTCACCACTGGTACACAAGGCAAGAGAGGGTGTCATGGAGTTTCTTCTTGCCAACCATCCCCTCGATTGTCCTGTCTGCGACCAGGGAGGAGAGTGTGACCTCCAAGACCAGTCGATGCGTTACGGTGCCGATCGGGGTCGATTCCATGAAACCGGTGGAAAACGTGCTGTGGAGGATAAGAACATTGGCCCTCTGGTCAAGACCTCAATGAATCGATGCATTCACTGCACTCGTTGTGTCCGATTCATGAACGACGTCGCCGGTGCTCCAGAACTAGGAACTGCAGGTCGTGGAAACGACATGCAGATTGGAACCTACCTTGAGCAGAACCTCAACTCAGAACTCTCAGGCAATGTCATTGACCTTTGCCCTGTCGGTGCACTAACTTCGAAGCCCTATGCTTTCCGGGCACGTCCATGGGAGCTCAAGCACACCGAATCAATCGATGTCCTTGACGCGCTTGGCTCTAATATCCGCATTGATAGCAGAGGCCTCGAAGTGATGCGGGTTGTCCCGCGATTGAATGATGATATAAACGAGGAATGGATCAATGACAAGTCGCGGTTCGCATGCGATGGGTTGAAGACCCAACGGCTCACAACGCCGCTCATTCGTCGGGAAGGAAAATTCGTTCCTGCTACTTGGGAACAGGCTTTAACGGAGATCTCATCGGCTCACCAGAAGTTGCAGCCACAGGCCAATGAGTTCAAGGCTGTTGCTGGACACTTGGTCGATACTGAGTCGCTCGTTGCCATGAAGGACCTTGCCAACAAGCTTGGCTCTGATAACCTTGCCCTTGATCAACCTGGAGGTGGTGCCCCTATTGCTCATGGCATCGATATTCGTTCCAACTACCTGTTCAATTCCAAGATCTATGGAATAGAGGAGGCAGATGTAATCCTTTTGGTTGCAACAAACCCTCGTCACGAAGCCGCAGTTCTTAACGCCCGCATCCGCAAGCAGTATATTAGATCTGATCTTGAGGTTGGACTTGTCGGTGAGGAGTTTGAGAGTACATTTGACTTCAACCATTTGGGCGCAGATGTCTCTTCCTTGAAATCCGCTTTGACTGGAGAATTTGGCAAGAAGCTTGCCGGAGCCAAGCGGCCAATGATTATTGTCGGCAGCGCTGCTGCAGAGCACCCGGATGCCAAGGCAATATTCGAGGCTGTCGGCAGTTTCGTTGAGAAGAACGCAAGCAACTTCATTACCCCTGAATGGCAGGGCTATAATGTTCTCCAGCGTGCAGCATCTCGGGCTGGTGCCTATGAAGTCGGCTTCACTGCACCATCTTTTCAGGTTGCCCAAACTACTCCCAAGATGGTGTGGCTTTTGGGCGCAGATGAGATTGCCCAGAGCGAGATCCCGAAAGATGCCTTTGTCGTCTACCAGGGACACCACGGTGATCGCGGCGCTCAACTCGCTGATGTCGTTCTCCCGGGCGCTGCATACACCGAGAAGTCAGGTACATACATCAACACGGAAGGTCGTGTGCAAGTTACCCGTGCTGCCACTTCACTTCCCGGTGCAGCTCGTGATGACTGGAAGATCATCCGTGCCACTAGCGAATTCCTTGGTGCTCCTCTTCCTTATGATGATATCGAGGCTCTTCGTGACCGCATGGAGGAGATCAGTCCCGTCATGCGCCGCTACGACGTTATTGAACCGACCTCGGTTGGCTCGTTGAGCAAGATCCAACTTGTGGAACAGAACAAGGGATCCCAAGCTACTGGGGCTCCTTTCAAGAAGGTGATTGAAGACTTCTTCTTCACCGATGCCATTTCCAGAAGGTGAATACTCCATTTCGTCATTTGTCACTCATCCAATTGCACCGCTAACTCTGCTTTAGTTCGGCTACCATGGCCCGCGCCTCCGCTGCCAAGGCCACTGGAAACCCTGAGACCAACTTCATGGCCGCAGGAGAAATGTCTCCTCAGGCTTTGTATGGCTAGATCAGGGTCTTTTCTGACCTCATTCTGTGTTTCTCTAATGGTTGCAGGCGTTTTTTTGTACCACATCTCAAATTTCCCTCTTGATGTACTGTTTCCTTTCCATCCTCTGTGTTTTTCCCTATCATCTTGAACACCCTTCCGGTTTCTGTTGACCTCTTCGCCATTCTCCGGTGTCGCCTGGGATTAATCGGTAGTGGTTGCCTTGTACATAAAAGACTGAACCCCCCAAAATTTCGAGTCCATGGGCGTCGGAGATGATGAATTTGTGCTACTTTATTAGTTTGGTGCGTAGCAGCTTTTGAAAGGAGAAGTATGGTCAATGATTCCTATCGTAATAACGATGTGAAATTGTACCCCGGACATATGATCTAGGTAGGGATGAGGATGGGGGAGTACCCCGACGACAAGAGTAGGACAGGGAGCAACAACGAAAGACTAACCCGGAGAAGAGATACATAAATTGGTGAATTGCAGGAGTCAACATTGCTTGGGTATGTACATATTTACAGGTCTGAAGAGTCAAAGATGAACTCCCAACTCCTAGGTCGATCGCGCCGCACAAAAGCACATGAGGCAGAACTGTATCTCCCTCCGTTGAAATCACCTATTTACCTTGTTCCGAGTGGTTATTTCAGAGCTCATCATCATCCGTCTCTCCTTCGGTTTCTTCAGCATCTTTACGAGGCTGGGTTGAATCAGTTTTCTTGATAGGCCCGCGGGTCTTTTTAGCAAATGGCAAATCTCTTTGAGGTGGCGCGGTATATCTCACTGGAGAGACCCGCTTCAGCGGGGGTGTTTCATCCTGTGACGAATAGTCGTCCGTCGTGCTATTGCTTGGTTCGTTGTCCAAAGAATGAGAAGTCGAAGGCCCTTCGTCATCGAGGTCTTGATTATTGGAGGTACCTCGATCAGTCTTCATTGGATCGATATCCATTTGCTCAAACCCATCAGAGTCGTCTGTATCGCTCATCTTGCTAGCACTTCTCTTTGTCGAACGAGACTTCTCAGCGATTTCATGTGACTCTCCAGGAATGCTTGCTTGCATCTCGGAGACTGTCGATATTCAGTCAGCCCAGATACCCAGGTTTCTCTGTTTGCGCCACCTACCTTTGGTGGGATCGACGGTAGACGATGCCAGAAGACGTTGCTGGTTTCGGATTTTAAGCTTTTTCTCGTTCAAGACCTGCACAAAACTGGCCACCAGTCGATTCTCATGCTCAGTTTTCGCATGCACGAGCTCCTCAAGCTGTTCATTCAACCTACGTATGGTATCTTCGGCAAAGCGGTAACGGCTAGTCAGGCTGAACACTTGTTGCTCTAGCGTATGAGCCCTCACTGCAGTAATCCCGGTCCATTCAAACAGTTCGACGGCTTGTTCATCGTCTTGCTTGAGGGTAAAAGCACCAAGGCGTTGCTATGTTATTGTTAGTAGAGAGATATAGATACATATAACCCGCCGGCGTAGAACACGAACTGTGATATTCTGCACTCGCTTCCGTATCGTGATCACAATTTCCTTGTTGTCTTCGTTAGAGCCCGATATGCTGGCAGAAGCTTCGAGACCAGTGGCCCAATCCGGCCTATCGGGAGGAGTAGAACATTGCCCCAAAATGAGAGAGACGGTTTTAATCCATTCATCGTTCGATCCTTGGTAATTCTTTGCGTGGAGGTCTTTCAAGCATGCTTGTTTCACTGTACGATATGAGCTCATGACTTCCAGACTTCGTTCTGTGACGACCCACCCAAGCTAACATAGGGGGATTCCCCCTCAGTAGCCATCAGGCTCAAATCAAGCGGCGCAGGGCCAGTACATGAGACATGGACAAGTACAAAAGACCCAGTCTCGTCCGATCTGGGAAACCGCAAGATTCGAGGGTCTGTTGGAACAGGAGATGACATAATTTGGAATGAAGTGATCAGGATGGATGCGGGGAGCGCGGAGGGAAATTAAATATTAAATAAGGGGTGAAAGGACAGAGTTACGGTGTTGCTATTGAGAAGTGAAATATCAAGTGTCTACATGTGTAGGTAACAAAACTCATATCCCAAGGCAACAGGAGTGGATACAACGAGGACACTATGTACTCCGTACCTGACTGAAAGACGGCAGATACCGAATCTCCACATTTTTAAAACGGTAAGTGTGAAATGTATTTTTGTACGGGGTACCGCATGAATAGGTCACATTTTAATTACCACCGGAAATACCTGTTACATGGGACACTACAAGGATCGTATGGTACGAACTCGTTGCTATACTCCTATGTCGATAGGTTGACATTCATGAACCGGTAGCAGCTGCCTAGACATCAATGTTCTGTTACTTACATGTAACGGCTGTGTCTCACATGCGTACACTACGAAGTATGCAAGTGTCGACCGAGCATCCCAGGTAAACTGATTACCTAGATACATTACCAGTACGGGGACTGTCACGTTCTTCCTCTCCTCGACGGAATCGAGATATCTTTTTCCCCTGTCTCCGCTTCGTGCTTGCAATCAAGTTCCTTTGATTTCTTGATTTCCTCCGAAGATCAGCAGTCGGATCCAAGTGTCTTGGGGTGTCCCCAATGCTGAGGTGTTCTCTAGTGAATGTTTATGCAGGAGGACCTGGCATTTATCAGGTCGCCTAGTGAACCCGCTTGATCTCATTCGGCCATTTCGACTTTAGAGCAAGGCCGGCCCTCATTGAGCTAATTACCCCAGCCATCTTACCTTGCGATATCCGAGCTCACTTGTCACGCTACGATCAACGGTGAAACTGTGCTTCTCACTCGCTCCTATCTTTAGTCCCTACCAACACGGAATGACGCTCATGTTCGCATCCCCTGAACCCTCACCAGTGTCGCAAAGCACTTAATCACAACCGCGTCGGGACGCCTGTAATCATTCTATGACCTCTGTGTTCTCTGTACACCTTGAACCAATTTGTTTTCGCCAGTCATGGAATCTTTACCAATCCACCTACGACCAGGCACCGATGAGCCGATTGAATGCTGGGATGATGACGACGACTTGCAGTTCAGCGACGATGTTCACTTTCGCACCGCATCTAGCGCGGGGTCTATAAAAAACTCGTCTTTTCGGCCCTCCGGACACCGTGATTCCATTTCCTCTCGACGCTCTGCTCGCTCAGATATTGACTCTAATGCGGGTGACGAAGACTGGCAAGTACCGCTCTATGACAACGATGAATTCGCAAAAGAAGATGCCATTGCTTCGGCCAAGACTGCGGGTATTCCCATTCCTCCAGATATCCCCAAGTCGGCTCTTATTGGGGGCACGATCAAGCGCTTGTCAACTCGAAAGACCAAGAAAACCTTTGTTGATGACTGGTCAGAAGACGTTGAACTCCCGGGCCCTGAAACCCAGTTACAGCTCAGAACTCCTCAGGAGACCATGTTTCCTGACTCCCTTCGACATTTGAGCTCCGCTGCTACCAGTCCAGTGAAATTTACGGCCTCATTATCTTGGGACGAGGAATTCTCGACGCGCTTGAAATCTACCCTGGGACCACTTGACACCTTCCAGGACGACCATAATAGTCTGGAATCTCGAGATATTCCAGCCCTCAAAGCCCCAACTCCACGATCTTCGAAGAAATTGAACATTAGCAATGCTGGCAGTGGTTTCTATACGGAACAGGAAGCAGAGGACGACTTCAACCATGATTTTGAACTTCCCGCCAATCATCAATCCCTCGAACTATCCCATCGAAAAGCGAACTTCTACGTTTCTAGTCCCACTTTGGAGGACTTTGATCTTGAGTGGTCTGAAGGAAGTATAGGTGTACGACTTGGCGGCACCACAAGGGATGGATGCTCAGTTCCCAGTTCTTCTGTCTCCATCGCCAGCCCCAGCGTTTCAAGTTGTCTCACTGCGGAAAGTGAAGACGATGGCCTCGATGGCATCGTCATTCCCGATGGTCCACTTGATTTCAGTACTTCTCTGCAGAAGCGACAGACTGCCCAAGCTGAGAATTTAAAAGCGGAAGAGAGTCAGGTGGATCACATTCCTTCTGACGCTGACGACTTCTTTTCTGGCCTTGATGTCGACAATGAGAAGGCTTTCTCTTTTGGAAAACCTGCTCTAAATCCCAACTTAAAGTGCAAGACCGAACGGCCATCCAGCCCGACTCGTCGATCTGCAACAACACTCACATTCACCAGTGCGACAGGATCTCCACGAACTCGCATCCCACGCTTGTCTGGTCATGATCGAACCCATTCAACCCACCTTGAGACTGTGTCGGAAAGTGGTGCGCCTCTTTCCAAATTTCGAACATCACAATCGCGTCTAGGGCATTCGTCTCAATCGTCAACTTCAAGTCTCCCGGCTCCTAGCGCTAATCCGACATCGCAGACTCCTAAACTCTCCGGTCGACGGCTTCTCGGGTCTCGCAATACCCGAGAAATTGCCCAGGGTGGCGAGAGTAGCCCTTCACTTCGGCGTTTGAAGACCAAGCGATCCCTTCCATCCATTCGTGGCTTAGGCTCGGCCCCTTCAATGACCGAGCGACCACCGGTTGATCGTCCACTCCGCCTTCCCTCTTCCAGACCTAAAACACCAGTGGATCTCCCCGCAACCGATGCAAGATTGCTGGTTAGTAAGTCACAGGTGCCATTCATGCCGGCTGGTGTAACGGAATCCCAACCATACCATGCCAGTGTGAAGGGGTATCGCTCATCACGTCGCACAAATTCAGATAGCTCTGGTAGACTTCTTAGTCCGCAGGGGACAATATCTCAACTCTCCCGACCAACTCGCAATGAGCCATTCCGTGCTGGCGTTGGCGACATAAGCGCGGACTCTCTCGGTTCCTCTACAAAGCATACAATCACGCGACCCACCAAGAGACGCAATTTCGGGGATGGAACAGAGTTGGAGTCGTTTGATGACCTATCTACATCGATCTTGGCAGAGAGCAAGTTCGTCAAACCCCCCACCGGTAGAGGTGCTCCCAGGTCCGTCCGTGCCAGACTCAGTCAGAGCCGGAATGATCCCCCACATAATGAATCACCTCCTCAATCTTTGACGTCGCAACCAACCTCCAAATTGCGCGACCCGACACCTAGGTTTGCGCGAGATACAAATGCATCTAGAAATGCAAGGGAACAACGCATTGCATCCATGACTATTAACTCGAAAGCCCGTGAACCGAACCCTCTTTCAACGTTCAACTCAAACCGGAAGTCCCAACCTGTCTCAAGGAGTCCTCCGGCTTCTGCAACGATCAGAAGCCGGAAAGGTAAATCGAATTCCAAATCCACCTCCAAACCGCACTTGATCAAGCCCATGGGATCTGGGGTGCAGGATGCCAAATGTAAGCAATCTTCTTGATCTCTATTCACAATTTTTGCCTCACTAACCATTTCCAGCTGTGAGGGGCATGCGTTACAACCCTACCAACTTTCGGTGGGAGGGAAATGAAAATTTGGTCCAGGAATTTGATGTGGCCCCTAAATCACCCAAATCTGCCCCGGCTCTCATCACCAATGTTGGCGCGATGCAGAATGTCCAGACCGTTGGTGGAATGGTGTTTGATCCACATCAGATGTGTTGGCTCAGAGCATCTTTTGGAGCTGCTGACGAAGACGACGTGTTTGCCGGTCTGGACGACTTGGATGACAAAATCACCAGTAGCACGACCTATGGACGACATTCTGGGGCGATTGACCAATTTCCAGCAGTTGGGGATGATGCAAGTGCCGGTGAATCCTCTGATGAAGGGCCTATGACCGAAGAATTTGATGTCGGCCCAGAATTCATTCGACGCCAGCGGGTTGAGGAAGACAAGTGGAGACGCAAGGTTGACAAATGGGTTGGATTCGATCGAGGCGATCAGGACCACGAAAATCATTGGAGATGGATCATCCGCGATTTAGTGGCCTTTGACCACCGGGGATCAGCATAGAAGCATGCCAGATTTGACGTCTGCCTGTCCACAGAGCTTTTCCCGGACAGGGGTCACCTTTTTTTTTTTTTTTCTAACCAGCATGTACATGTACTAACCCAAAGCCCATACACGAACTTACGACGTGAAGATCATTGGCCGTGATGATTCGGCCGATGTCATGAATTAATGGTTTTCTCTTTCGGGGGGGGGGGGGTTTGTTTTCCAAGCATATCTGACCAAGGGGGTAGAATGCTATGTAACTATAATATTTTGTCTCAGTACATACAGTTTAATATGTTCCTTTGTTTTTTGTTTTTTTTTTCGGTGGACATTGTCCTTTTTGAATAGTCTATACTAGATATAGACCAAACCTAGCAAACCCGTAACCCAATTAACCTGTTAAACTGTTAACCTGTTGATCAGTATAGATTTAGAGAATCGGACTCGGGGATTCTCAAAGGGAAAAAAAAAAAAAAAAAGAAGATCGGGAAGCAGCAGAGTGACACCAGATATGTTTTTGGACTGTGAGGGTCCGAACCTTGAAGTCCGATGTGTCTCACTTTCAGCCAAACGTAAGTCATCCTATCGTCCCGCCTCTGTACTTGTACTTGTCCTTCATTTGCTTTTTTTTCGTTTCTTTTCTTTTTTTCCCTCCTTTTTATCCTTGACAAAGTGATCTAAAGTCTTGGCCTCTGCTTCAAATCAAAACATCTTCTCGGATGCTTACATCTCTGCTGGGAAGGGGAAAAAAAAAACATTCAATGAAATTCAATGAAATAAACAATCCTGTGGGACAGTACAACATTAACATGACAGGGATCGCCTCAAGAAGACTTCAAACCTCAAAGAAATTCATCTCAATTGCCTCAAGAGCAGTTGTTCGTACATCAATGGACACCCCATGAGGTTCGTTCCCCAGTTCTCTCGTCCTCTATTCTTCCCTCCTCCCCCACTCTTTTCCCCTTCTTCTCATCCGGACGAACCCAACGGGAGGAAGCTCGAGGGATGCAGAATTTATCAGAGGAGTCGGAATTCCCAATCCATGTTCCTTACCAATTTTCACGGCTACTTGCATGGACAAATCCCTTTTTGCCGGTGGAATCTCCTGCCGACTTGTTTGATCGTGAAGCAAACGTGCAGAGGACAAAGGATTTCCCCCTTTTGCTGATTCGAGTCGGAATCCCGTACGGGAGTAGAGTTGTTCCGCAATTCTAAGTACAGGAAGAATTCGGGGAGATGATGATTTCGCCCCCGCTGTACTTCGGTCAAATCAGGAGAGCGGAATGTCTCCCCCCCTCCCCCCCCCCCCAAACGAGTCATCACTGTCTCCGATAGGGTGCCTTGAATAGCCTTGTCCAGTCCCATCTCCTCAACGTGGCTTCTTGAGGCAAATGATGGCGCTGATTGACCCCAGGGGATCGAAAGGCAGGAATCCGTATCACCATTGCTTCTGTGCGCTGTTGTATCAGCCTGCTTCCACTATTCGACACCTTCGGCGGGTCGGAAAGAATTGACCACGAACCCCAGTCTTTTCTTGCTGCTTTTCTTTTCTTTTCTTGTTAGACCCATCTTAGACCCATGTCGCTATCTTCTTCCCTGCAAGCTTTGGTAATACCTACGCTTCCGTACCTTACAGAGAGCTCTGTTGGACTCGCCTGGCTCCATCATTTCTTTTTCTCTGTGGAATATCTGCTGTTCGTCTTCCAGGGATGCCCTCTGTTGTCTCTGTCCGCAATCTCTGTCGCGACATGGTCTCGTGCACTTCATCTTGGGCATCAGCCATGTCAGTCCTGCACTGTTTGTCCATTGGGGTCTTTTTAATAGAATGGTTACCCCGTTTCGAGATGGGCTTTCTGTGAATTATTCCTCTTTTTCCCTTTCTATATCACACTGTGATCTCCTAGGCACGGTCCAATCTTTTTTGTGATACCTGCTGTGGTGTACCAGCGTACTGTGGCAATTCTCACTTGACTACATACGAGCGAGTTAGTCAAGTCTTCAGTTCACTATCATTATCATCATCAACCTGGGAGTTTCATACATTTACCTTTTCTTGTGTCCTTTTTATCATCGTCATCATCATCATCTTCTTCTTCTTCTGTCTGTCTGAAACAGACCGACGTGAGCTAAACAATATTCAAGTGAGGCATCAACTATGAGCAGCTTTGCAAGGCGCAACGAAGGGAATGATGCGTATCTCATGAATCACCAGATGGCAGTGCCTGGCTCATACGGTCAGCCGGAAAGTCATGACTTCAAGCAAGAGAGCCATGATTTCAACACACATGGATCTGGCTCTTACCATTTCTCTCAGCATTCCTTCAACCCATACGGGCCTCACTTTGGGCAGCCCTATGGCCCACAGTCGAGTCTGTCTCCGGGGTTGCAGCATTTACAATATACGTCGGAACACTCTATTCCATCAATGACAGCAACAGATGACCCTAGGCTACACCATCCGCCGCAGTTCATGTCCCAATCGCGTTACCTGCAAGGCCCACGGTATCTGCCCCGCGACCCGCTGGGTGAAACAGATATTGAAACCCAGGAGTCTCATAACGAGACTACATTGCTGTCAGAGGCTGTTGTGCCCGCACTTAGCGGCTTCCCTGATGTAAAGGAGTTTGATCAACTGATGCAGAAGTGAGTGATCCGTAACAAATCAAGCTGGCCGTAGGCCTAATGTCTCATCATTCTAGCTATGTCAAGGACCTGTCCATCAAGAAGCAAGATAAAGCGTTGATCTATGCTAAAAGAGCCCGGAACATCAGGACTGTACTGATTGACCCCAAAGACACAGCGGTGGAGTCGGCTCAATTCCGGTATGTTTCTCTTTGATTCAATCAATTTTCTGTGGCTAAGAAAGAATTTTTTTTTTGCAGGTTCTGGGTCAAAAAGATGTTCAAGCTCCAAGCCGTGGGATCGGATGTGAGTCTCACCTGTCCTAAAGGTTATGACCAATCAAAGCTGATAGAGTAATTTGTTGTAATTTAAGCACAGGAAGATGATCTGTCATGAGGGAAAGCCGGTTGCAATTCGGGAAAAATTGTTCAAGATCCTCACCAAGGCCCATCAGCAATGCCAGCATGGAGGCCGTGACAAGACATCTGCTCAGGTCCGGCGGATCTATTCATGGTGGGCAAAGCAAACCCGAGTTATATGTGCATGACTTGTTTGATTCAAGGTGACTGACTGTATCATTAGGGTTCCCAAGGAACTGATCTCCCGCTTCGTCAAGATCTGTCCAACCTGCCAGGTGCGCCGTGGTGGATCACGCCTGACGCCGCCCAATTCGCGAAGAAGTTCCCCCAGACTGGAAATGGTCTCTCGATCCCCCAAACTGCCGTCGCCGCCAATCTCACGACGAGAGTCCTCGTTTGCTGGTCAGATGCCCCTTGACAGGACGCAAGCAGACTATTTTGGTCATCTACACGGCCACGGTGGCTGGCTGGATCATCATCAAAATGTGCAAGGTCGTTCGAATCTAGGTAACGGAGTTCGGTCGTTCCAAGGTCCCATGGGCAATCTTTCACACTCAATTTCTGGCACTTTGGATCCCTTCTCCACCGATTTATCCATCCCTCCGTCCCAATTGAGTTATGCAGCGGGATTTGTCCCGACACATGGGGCTGCGCCTCAACGAGATTTTTGACATCTCTTTTCTTGTCGACTTATGTGGATGTTGCTTTTTGATATTATCGGAGCATACTACTTGTGTGCCCCCCCAAAAGTATACCTCTAGATCGTCTTGTGCTCCTTTGTCAACCACAAATCTGATACGTGGCATACACGAATAGGGCGAGAAGTTGATTCCTATCCGTTACATGGATTTGAGTGTGTGAAGAGACAAGAGATCCAACAGAGAATGGAATGGAATGGAGGGATTTGAAAAAAATCGGAAAGAACATGGGGAAATCCCCTCCCCCAAAAAAGCTCCGAATGATTGGATAGTTGAATATTGCTTTGTGCAACTCAGGCCACCTTGAATGGTAGATCAAAGACTCGAAAGCACAACGTTTTTGATAAGCTGAGGATAGTTCCCGTTTTCTGGTCAGCACTGTAGAATCCAACAGTCAAAAATGCACATAATCTGTGATCGTATCTGACATTCGATATTCGGTAGTCAATTCTGGGATTAATTGAGGTTCATGTGACCTTTTCTAGATGCACACAGACTGGCCACATGGAAAATTTCATTCATAGCAACTCCCGGCGTCGGGGCTAGAGGAGGTGTTGCATAGGTTCAAGACACTTGGTGTTTGTGAGATGGGCAATCTCCAGCGTTCCAGGCAAATGTAAAAAAGTAATGGTTGGATGGATTCAAAATTTCGTCTCAAAACCCTCAGAAAATCTAAGATATCACCAATTCCTCAACTCGTCCAAAACGAAGAGATGATTCTAAACAGGAAGCGAGAACTTTTTGCCCTTCAAAACTCTGGAAGAAAAAAACGCGAAAGTTAGTGTCCACATCACACGTCTACCTCTTGTTCCTTTCGATACGATTGGGCTTACTTGTTGTAGTAAATATAAAAGAAATCGGAGTAAAGCAAAGTTTGGATGACTCCGGCAATAATGCTCACAGGCTGGAAGGAACGCTGGAAGGAGGCTTCGGTGAGATAGCGGAAGACCCAGTTCGGGATGTAGAGTGCCCTATAGAGTCCCAGAGCAAACAGGTAGTGGGTGGTGATGGTGTCGGCCTCCCCGGTTCGTTGTAGCATGAATAGTTGTGGCAATATGGCAACCGACTCCAACCAGATAGAAAAAGTCCAGAGTATCTACTTGAGACGTTAGTCTGGACGTTTCCACACCATAGACAGGATGCAGCCAACCTCGGAGATGCGATAATCGCGTGGGAAGAGAATCGCGAGCACCGCGCTAATTCCGAGGAGGTATTGGACCTTGAAAGTATCGATGTTGGGATCATGTGTGGGTTTGTAGTCGTTGAGCATAAGGTAGATGACGTAGGCCGAGGAACCGATAAATAGAAGCTTGAAAGTGGTGAGGTACAGGGAGTCGGTGAACGTCCAGAAAAGATCTAACAAAGCACATGAGCGATTGCGACGAACATAAAGCTGACTGTGACGTCGAGACCTACCGAGATACCGAGTGACAAAAACGAGAAGGTATAGCACCTGCGATTTGAACGACAACCCAGAACAACTCTGCGATCTGCCATTAGTCGGAAGTCAGATGTGGCTTCATGGACAGGATAACATACGCTTGACGTCTTCATCTTCTGCAGAAGCATGAAGATCGACGCCAGATGGGAGAAGTCGGCTATGATTAAGCGTTAGTATATAGCATTGGGTTTGATTTAATGTCGTACCTAATAACCGGAAAAGATTCATTATGCCGGAGATGGATCTCAGTAGTATGAATAGTGACCTAGGCTAGAAGAGAGAGAAGGAGAGGGACGAGTTTGAGAATTGGTAAGAGTTTACACCAGAACAGCTCAGTTGTTGACACGAAGGCAAAAAAAAGGAAGGGGAACTTAAATTACTTGCAGATCAGGTACAATGGGGGATGTACATTACAGGGTACTATGTATATGACATGTATGTACCGTGTGTACTGTACATACCTTAAACTGTACTATGAGCACTTGATTTTTTTTTTAAATTCATAGTTTTTTTCGAAACCTCGAACAAGTGTATTTTAAGTAAAAAATACTATACTTCATACTTCACTAGAAAAGTAGACTACTGTATGCTCCTGTGACAATGATCTGGAAGATCCCCTCTACTTCAAATTTACTCTTCCGAGATTGGGTGTGTAACTTCTGATATTGAATTAGAATTATTGCATCGATCCTGGAAATACCTACTTTGTATGTACACTCATATTTCCGTATTTATACAGCGTCTGGAATGCACAATGTCGTCAAATCATCATATTGATACAACCCTTGGAAGAAAAAGAATCACAAACGCCACCTAGACCTCCCAATGCCTTGACACAACCAGACATATAACCTAAAACGCCGAGAAATTTGCCGTTGTAGGAAAAACACGTAAGTTTGCCTCGCTAAAACAAGTTTCTACCCCCAATACTCTCATCCGCCATACGTTGGAGATGGCCTTCAGCTAGCTCGCTCTTCAAGGCGCAGATTGAGTTTTCGCGATCGAGTCGATCCCAGTCCCGAAGTTCCGCTCGCTTGGACCTCTGCGTCTCTGCGATCTGCTCAATAATTTTTTCTTTATCGACATCAAGCAGAGCCAATCGCTTCTCCACAGCAGGGTCTAGAAGTGACGGAAGACTCCGACCTTCCGTTATAATAGTACATAGCCCTGCAAGATAGTTGATTCCCCTCTGAGCCAATGGTTGAGTCACAGATGGAGTGCTGGGTTGCCGGGAAATCGAATGTCGGTAACTGCCACCTGGTGCCGGGGATGAAAAAGAAGCGCGAGGACCTGCTGGTGGGGCTTGCGCAGGTGCAACAGTTCCACGGCGCACCGGCGGAGGTCCCGTCCAAGCTTCACGTGGGCCAGGTCCGCGGCGAGGTCGAGTCGGTGCTGATAGTAGAGAGACATGTGGAGGACCACGGTGCTGATTAGACGGCGGCCTCGGTACCTGATAAGGTCCTGATGGTGGCAGCGGTAGCGGACTTGCACCGTGGCTTTTCGGTTGAGTGGGAATGTTGCCACCAACCCTGGTCCCGCTTGTCTGGGACTCCAAGTGTGCTCTCTCTGGAATTGAACAAGGCGAATGATTGCCAACCGATACTCGGTCCCCATGATCTGGCCGTTGTTGTAGGTAAGAGGGCTCCGCATCGGGGATCTGATCGCGGTGCGGAGATCGACCTGAGGGTTTCGACAAACGTTGAAAGGGTACCGGAGAGCGAATTGGCGACCGACTACGAGCTCTCTGGGAAACCACACCAGGCTTTTCTATAGCCGGCGATGAACGCCGAAATATCAGGACGGGCTGTGAGGGTGCAGGTGAAACATGTCTCGATGGCGACAAAGTCCGATATTTTTTCGTCGTGTCACAAGGGTGACCTCGACCCGGGGCATGAATTGGACTTTGTGGCACCGAGACTTCGAGCTGTGATCTCGGCGATGAAGCCCTGGGGGGTTTGTCAAGATTCAAGACAGCAGGGCTATCTCGTCTCGCGGATCGGAAGAGTTGGCTTCCAGGACTTGTATCGCGTATTCGTCTTGGGCTGTTGCGAGCACGGGATGCGTTGCGTGATCTGCCATCACTGTAGGGCGATTTCGAGCGCCATTTTTGGGGCGGTGATCTAACCCTTTCATCTCTTCTGGGGGAGAACCTTCTTGGAGGGGATCGTCGTCTTTCATAGAGGGGTGGACCAAAATTTCTCCCCGGAGGAGTACGTGAGCGGTGCCGGTATGATGGTGGTGATCGACTTCGTAAGCGCCCATACCCTCGATTTGATGACGGTACCCAAGTGTCGGCTCGTGGTCGAGGAGGGCTTCGGGTTCGTGGTGGCGAACGCCGGTGGCGATTTTCATACCCCCGAGAAGGAGAGCGACCGTTTCTTTCGGCTGGACGATAACTTTCTCCACCTCTTCGTTCATCGAACCTAAGGGGACACTTAGAAACTTTCTTCTTTGGAAACATTTCGATGTGTCTACAAACCTTCTGCGATCCCAGTCCATTCTGGCACAGATGATATGGATATGAGAGGAGGTAGGATGAAGGTCAAAGTACTTTGGGGCGGGAATAGAAGTTGGAGCACAGGAGCACGCAATTACCCAGTGCTGATTTCCCGTCTCCTTGGGGAGCGAGAACAAAAGTAGATTAAAGTAAAGGAAATAATGGGTCGAGACGTGGTAGATGAGAGAATGGAGCTAAACCATTTTTGGAATCCATTCCCGTGACTGTGGGCCTCAATGGATACACGTACAGCAACAAGCTAGTTCACTATGTTGTAGTTAACTATGCAATCTATGCTGACTTGAGTATTCATACAGACAATTGGACGGAGTATTCCCCCTAGAGTTTCATAAGTAATTCAATAAGAACATTGATTCAAAACTAACCGTACATGGCAGGCCAGATGGTTTTCTTGCAACCTAGATAAAAGTACACCAAAGCAGCCAAACTCCAATGCTCGTCATGAAAGAAGCACGCCCGGGGAACTCAAATGAAAGAAAATAGAGAAAGACACCGAAATAGACCTCTTCAATGCTTCCCTCGTCTCTCCTCCTCCTTTCGGAATCTTTTGCGGTGCTCCTGTGCAATCATATCACTCAAGTCCTCCTGGAAACCCCAGTTCGGTGGATTCTGCTGCTGTCTCTGTGACTCGTACATGCTATGGAGGTTCTCTTTGCTGAGGGCATCACCAGATTGGATTACATCCAAGTTCACAGACACTTCAACATCCCCAGGCTTCTTGCGTTTCCGTGTTTGGTCATCTGCACCGAGAACGGGAGGCTTGCCTGTTGACCCGCTAAGGTCATAGGCCCTATCACCCCCGAAAAAGCCTTCCACGTTTGTTTGCCTCTCGGGAATGACTTGATAAGCATTCCGAGGGTGAACGGACTCCTCTGTGTCAATACCACGATGGTGTTTGCGCACATCAAACTCTCCAGAAACATTCTCGGCGCCAACAAATTCAGATGTTACTGCTGAGTCTATTCCGCTTGGAGTTTCCAAGCCACCAGGAGAATGAGCACCCGCACCCACGCCATCTTCATCACTGTCTTTTTCGTGTTCATCATCGTCCTCCTCTGCTTCACTCTCCTCTTCTGACTCTTCTGATTCATGTAATTCTCCCCATAGATCTTTTTCAACCGGCTCCCCTTGTTGGGCGTGTTGCTGAGGTTGTAAAACACCGAAGATGTCACCTCCGAATAATGGGCGGTTGTGTTCATCGACAGGTGGCTTTCCATACCCTCCGGGATGGTAGCCCCACGAGGCGCCGGGCGGAGGCGGCGCATTAAGGCCGGGGACTTTCAATGCGGGGTAGGAAGATGGGGGACCATATCGCTGCTGGTTAACGAGCCATGGGGGAGGGGCTCCTGGGGCCATACCAAGAGCATCCCTCAACTCATCACTCAGTTCGCCAGGTCGGAGGTGCTTGAGATTGGTCTCGTATTCTTTGCCCTCGTAGTAGATCTCACCGTAGCGAGTGAGTTCTGGCTTGGTTTGGAAACGGAAGAATGCCTCGTAAAGCTTCTGGTAATCAATGTCCAGCTTGCCCATCTTCGGTTGCACTCTTTCCCGTTGCTTTTGTTTCAAGCTTGACTGTTCCTGCTTCTCTAAAGCGGCGTCGCGCATTTCAGATATTCCGGTCTCTTGTATAAATTTTGGGAGAGCAAACGGCGCCTTCTCCACACCGCGTTTGGATGAGAGATACTCTCGTTTGAGCGACCAGTGAGAGGGTACCGGGACAACATTGCGATGGGCTTTAATGTGAACGAGGAGTCGAGGGTCAGGGGCGGATGTATCTGTCCATTCGACGATTTCAGGCTTTCGTACCATTGCTTTGAGTTCAGCAACGGAGAGCTTGTTCATTTCTTTCCGTTTCTTTTTTGAAATCTTGGGTTCGCTCTCTTGCTCTTCTTCGGGTATTTCATCACCATCGTCAAAGAAGACCTCAGGTTTGTCAGCCTTCGTCGTCAATGAATTTTCGTCCACTGTCTCTTCGAATTTTCCGGCAAAGCCTTTGTACATTTCCCATAGCGGATCGGTTGGCTGGGTAAGCAGATCAGTGTTAGCATCGGCCGGTGCATCCTGAGCAGTAGCCACTGGCGGAGGCGACAGCTTCTTTGATGTGGCATTGTCAATGGAAAGACTCGTAGCCTTGATAGTAGTGTCAGTTTAGCATCAAAGATTGCTGTGAGACTATTGGGGATGTATCTGCCTTACCTCGGCTTTTTGCGCCTTTTTCTTGGCTCTTCTGAGCTGGTTCTTGCTCAATTTCATGGTCGCTGGAAGGTTTGTCTGCCGGTCAATGAACACGATGCCAGGCGGCGATTGTGAAAATTGCAAAAATGCAAAGAGATATGGCACTGACAGCTCCAAGTGCTTGCAAAAATAGCTTCAGGTGACAAGAGACAATAGGCGGACATGACTAAAAACAGAGTATATTGCATCTCATTTGTCATCACGTGCGTCTAGCTACAATGCCTTACCGCCTGCATTGTGCCACACTAGTCTAGCGTTAGCTACACAAAATAGATGCAAGCGATTTCGAGAACTTGGAATAGTTGTTCATTTCTTAAGCAATAATCAACAAATGTACATTGTCACACAAAAATCTTGGTATTGCTCTGATGAACTAATGGTATAAAACCCTCCCAGAAAAAACAAAGGAATGGGAAATGTATTATTGTACAAGATGTGAAACAGGAGCCACATCCGATGGCGAGACTTTCAGCGGAGAAATTATTGAATCTCGACACTATTTGCACCAAAAGCAAATCATTCATTGCTATGCAGTATTTCACTAGCCCAGCCAGAATCATAGGGAGAGAATCCAAATTTGGAATGTGTGCCGGTGTTGATATGAATGGTGCAATGTTGAGCTCAGAAAAGCCTAGAAGGTTAGGCAGACGGTCTATTTCTTCTTCTTTGCGGACCGTGATTCTGTTCAAGACTTAGAATTAGATCCTGACATAGAACCGTTGGGTTTGGAGGAATTTACCTGCAGCAGTTCGTTTCTTCTTCGGTCGGCCCTTTCCTCTTAACTTGGCACTGTGAATCGGATGTTTAGTAAGAACACATGTGAAATGGAATAGTAGTTCTAACATCTGAATGGCTTCTTCTCTGTCATCCTCAGCTTCGTCAAATGTCGTCAAGCCAAGAGGCTTATAAGTGTTTTGTAGATCTCGGAAAGAGACTGTCTGCTTTGGATACCAGGCAGCAAGCGCTGGCCCACGCAAGCGCTGTCTCAAGACTTTGTTTCCAAGTCGAAGTCGTTGTGGATTGAAATTAAGAGAGAATATACGGCATTGGGTCTAAAGTATTGCCAGTTAGTGAATGCCAGTAAAGTGCAAGGAAAAGGGTGCTTGAACCTTAACTAGATCCAAGATCCGACTTGTTGCCATTTTCCTTTCTCAAATTTTCAAAATAATCATATGCAAAAAGAAATGGTAAAGCAGCTATTCACAGTAGCTCGGCAGACAGATGTTGCCGAACTCGGGAAGATACAAAATGAAGTTGGCCCCATGGTCATGTGACCCCCAAAGTATACCGCCTGCCCATCTTCTAAGGGGGAGCAGGAAAAAAGAAAAGATCGCAAGAACAAAACGGGACCGAGACTGAACAGTGTCTACAACAATTGACATGCCTCAAGACAAGGAGTTGGCAGATTTAGCAAGCAAAAAAAGGCCAGTGGTAGATCTGAATGAGTCAAATGCCACGCAAAACTCACAAAAACGGCCCAAGGTGAATAAAGTGCGCTCATCCCACTGAGAAGAATTCCCGTATATTTCATTAATTTGCTAACATCTACATGCATAAAGGTTCAAAATTTAGGACTACCATCGGAGACTAAGTTTTTTTTTGATGACAGCCGCCGCAGGGCCAAGTCTAGCAACAATTCTCGTCTACTTCTTCTACAACACCTTGTTCGAGAGATTTCAACCAGTTCAGAACTCGCTGGTGTTGATTCAGATATTATGGACGCAATTTTAAGGCTGGATGACACATTTCGTGGGATGAAGAATCAATTTCCTTCCAAAGATTCTTCCATGGCTGGTGAGGTCCCGAAATTACACCACTCAGATCACAGTTCCAAGTTGGTCGGTGGATTGTGTGACCCTAGGCTCCCCCCGATCATGGATGACAAGCTGGAACTTGCTGTCTTTACCCATCCAGCTCTTAGCAACAACAACAACACGACCTACGACCGACTCGAGATTCTAGGCGATGCATACATCGAGCTGATTGCAACCAAACTTGTCTGGGAGAAATTCCCGGGCTTACCAGCAGGTCGAATATCACAGATTCGGGAGATCCTTGTGAAGAATGAAACACTTGCGGGCTTCGCAGAAAGATTTGGTTTGGATAGCAGAGTTTCTGTGCCGCCGAACTACAATGCCCCATCAAAGCGATGGACCAAAACAAAAGGCGACGTCTTCGAAGCCTATATTGCAGCAGTCATACTATCCGATCCTGTTTGTGGCTATGAAGCAGTTGAGCATTGGCTAGCAGGTCTATGGGTGCCAATTCTCAAGAACTTGGGCCATCAGAAAGGGGAGTTACGCTCCAAGGAGGCTCTTGCTAAGAAAATTATGGGGAAAAATGTCAAGCTTGAATACATCGAGGAGCGTCCATCAATTCAACAAAAGGGTGGCACACAGACTTTCTTTGTCGCGTTGTATCTCACTGGGTGGGGATGGGACAAAAGGTTTCTGGGTTCCGGGCAGGGTTTGAGTAAAGCAGCTGCAGGTGATGAAGCAGCGAAAAAAGCCTTGCTGAATACGCCGTTGATTCTTGAAATCGTGTCAGCAAAGGAATCATGGGAACCAAGCTCTTAAAACCATCGGCCAGATGCCTCTTGTGATCGGTCGGGTCGGTTTCTTGAAGTTACTACCTAGGTCTCGGCTTTGCATTTCCAGTGAAAGAAATAACGAAGAAATGGCACTGAATGGATTCATGATATTCAAGTCCTGCATTTTCAGTGAACTATTTTGATTACCAAATTCCACTTATCCCTGATAATTCCCCCTACTAATTCCTTGCTAACTCGGTACGAGATCTTTTTAACCAGCTCTTTACTTCTTATAATTACGCTGCTTTTGTTGGGTTTCTACTCTATTGTAATTAGCATGTAACTACGAAAATCAGATAAAGAGCTGCAATACCGAGTACAACAGTCTACCCTATAAAGATTCACCACCTCCACAGTGGCGGTACTGGCGTATAAATTAGCATAGTATTTAATATGGTATTTTACAAATTGATACTACATTATTCTTTTAAAAAACAGGGTTCTCAACCTTTCAACTCTCCATTTCTCTCACACACAACATACGACAATTCAATCATCAACTATATATAATTGCAGTTCGCTTTTTTGCTTCCATTTTCGCCACCGTTGATTGGCTGTTGCTTCTGCCTCCACTTTGCTACCACCCCATCAAAAACCACCTTCCGTTCTTTTTATCAACTTTCCTCTCTACCCTTTGCTCCGATCTATCTAATATTTGGCACAGATAGTGTAGGAGTTATCTATTTAAACAGTTTTAAATTTCATTTATTTCCGACTGGTCGTTATTCCCTTATGGTGATTTATATTTTCTGTGCTTTTAGGCCTTGCGCTCCGGGGTTCATTTAGGCGTGCCCACCCCCAATTTCATCCCTACAGTTCCTAGAGGTCTCCCCCGCTAGGCTATCCACCCCCTTAATTTTAATCTAAATCTTTTTGATCGCTTTTCTCTATTGTCCTTCGTCCATTCTACTTCAAACTTAGTTTACCTCCTATAGTATTCCTTTATTACTATACAGCTAAATTATACCCCTCTCCGACCACCCGTTATAGATATTCTATAACGGGCTATAGCTATACGTCGATTCTAATCTATATACTAACGTAATTCCCAAGCGAGCTGGCCACCCCAACCAAAACACGTCCATGAATTAGATCTTAGTTAGTTCAACCACCCACCATGCCACCAATTCGTACTCAATCCTCTCGAAATTCAATAGAGCAGGAGGATAGGATCTTACTAGCTATCCAGGCCTTTAAGAATCAAGAAATCTCTTCAATTCGTGAAGTGGCGCGCCGTTTTAACGTCCCAAGATCCACCCTTTCTACCCGCCTGAATGGTATACAACACCGCGCGATTTCTCGCGCCAACTCTCATAAATTGACTGATGCTGAAGAGGCATCTCTTCAGTAATGGATATTCTCTATGGACGCTCGTGGTTCAGCTCCACGGCCTTCAATGGTGCAAGAAATGGCGAATGTTCTACTTTCGCATCGCGGAATCAACCCATCATCTACAGTCGGCAAAAATTGGGTCACTAATTACATTAAACGACATCCCAATCTATCCTCGAGATTCTCCAGACGTTACAATTACGAACGTGCTAAATTTGAAGATCCCAAAATCATTGGTGAATGGTTTACACTTGTTCAAAAAACGATTCTTCAATACGGCATTGACAACGATGACATTTATAACTTCGATGAGACTGGTTTTGCAATGGGATTAACCGCAACTGCTAAAGTCACTACAAGATCTGAATACTACGGTCGGCGATCACTTTTACAACCTGGAAATCGCGAATGGGTGACTGCAATTGAATGTACAAATGCTTCAGGTTGGGCACTACCTCCATGCATTATTTTCAAAGGCAAAGCCTTCATTGAATCTTGGTTCGACAATCTTCCAAATGATTGGCGCTTTGAAGTCAGTCCTAATGGATGGACCTCTGATGAAATTGGCCTTCGATGGCTTGAAAAACTTCATTCCATCGACTTATTCACGGACAAAAGGTCAATATCGACTTTTGATACTTGACGGACATGGAAGTCATTGACCCCGAAATTCGATGAACTTTGCGAAAAAAACAACATCATTCCAATCTGCATGCCTGCACATTCATCTCATCTTTTACAGCCACTTGATATTGGTTGTTTTGCGGTATTAAAACGCTCTTGCGGTCAACTTGTTGAAAAGAAAATGCGTCTTGGCGTCAACCATG